CTCGATGCCTCCGAGCCATCTGGAAGAATGAAATCACCATATCGCACTCCGCTGAGGTTAGGAGAAAATCTGGGGGTTTGACGTAAGAAAAGTATATTATTGCGGGCACCATAAAATGCAATTCTAATGAATATTGCAGTATCATARCACTTCTCTAACAACAAGAACAACCCTCTCCTGAAATTCAAAGTGAATTTTCCGACTTATTTTTACTCGTCTGGTTTAAGTAAGTAACAGACGAGAAGAAATATGGTATCATGATACTCCCCCTAGAACCGTACGGTACATATGGATCGAAGTCACATTACTGTACGAGCATAGTAGACCTTTCGTGCAACGAGATCTATGTACTAGAACAAACGGTAAATAACGCAAAAGCCATTCGCTCTAGTCGAATCGAATGGGTATTTTTGTGGTTGCACGACTGGAGTTTTCCAGTTTTCCTCCGCTTTGATTCTCGTACTGTAGGTACGAGGTACGGTACAGTACGTACCAGGTACCGTATCATGAGAATGGAATCGACCGTCATCGTCATTTTGGATTTTGGGAGATGACACAGAATGAGAAGAACGGTGTTGACCTACAAGAATTCGAGGAGAAAAATCATCTCACYACGACATCTGCTTCATGGCTTGTYGAATGAGAAACATCCGTGTTCTATTGCTTTAGAATAAAGGGAAACACAGGTATTATTAACACCAACACCCACCGGAACAAGCGATGCCGGCGATACGAGCCACACTCCACATGCTGCTTTTGGTGGTCGTCGTCGCGCTGTTGTTGCACGGCGGAAATGGCCTCTCGATCGATCCGGAGATGAACCGYAGGTCGGCCTTTGCCGCGGTGGCCGCTGCGGGTGGTGCCACGACGGGATGGTTTACCCGTTCCSTGCCCGAGGCACACGCCGAAACAGCAGCATCAACGACRACGACAACGACGGCGACGACAAACCCGCTGCCCGGTGGYTCGCTCTCGGCATACCAGATATTTCCKGACGCGACACCGRCCCGCAAYCCGACAATCGAATCCCTTGCCGTAAGTAAGAAATACGAAAGAAGAGACTTTCGTGTCAATGACAATGCTTGAAAACCAGCGAATCCCGTCGCACGAATTCTGACACTATCCAACTGTTCTTTGCCCATGGCGAYGATTGTGGCGACGGTGGTGCAACCTCTGTAGGAAGACCAAYTGATCCAATCACTGAGCAAAAAATCCGGTGCCCTGTGGCTGGGAGAGCACCACAACGCCGAACGCGATCACCGGGCTCAGATCGACATCATCCGGAAGCTGCACGCCTCTAAAACGAAGGGCCAGAGCGGCAACGGCGAGCGACTCGGCATCGGACTGGAGCAGGTCCAGGTTCAGTTCCAGTCGGTCCTGGACGCGTACATCGGCGGAAGCCTGTCCAYMGAGGAAATGCGGGAAAAGGTGGAGTGGGACAAGCGGTGGACGTGGCCGTTTGATGGCTACAGGGGCATCTTTGAAACGGCGAGGGAGCTRAAGATCCCACTCGTGGCCCTGAACGTAGATTCCGAGGACCTGGCCAAGGTCGAGAACGGAGGCTTCTCGAACCTGCCRCCCGAGAAACGCAGCAAGTACATCCTCGATCCGGAGGGYTTTGCCGCCTTTGCCAAGCCCGGAAAATACAAGTGCTACGTGGAATACGTCATCCTGCCGTCCTTCGACATGCACAAGAAGCTGGGCCTCCTGCAGTACACGATGTCGGGGGAAAAACTCGACGAGGAAATGAATTTCAAGAAATTCTTTAGCGGGCGAATCCTCTGGGACGAGGCCATGGCCTCCGGGGCCTACCGGTGGACCAGGGACAACCCGAACGGCCTCCTGGTGGGCCTCGTAGGGGCCGACCACGTCAAATACAGGGCCGGCATCCCCGGGAGGTACGACCGGATGGTGGGGAACAGCAGGGACTGCGTCTCGGTGATGCTGAATCCATCCCTCATCGACACGCGGCCCTCGGGCTCCGTCTCGATGGAACAAAACACACTCGATCCGAACCAGCTGACGCTCCAGCTGATCTATGCCAAGGACGGGGTGGACGCTACCACGGATGCACGCTTCCTCGACGAAAACATCGGGGGATCCTTTCCTCTGGCGGATTACATCGTCACGAGCAGCAGCTAGACGGTGACACCAGTCCGTGGCAAGACGAGCGTCCCGCAGTACAAGGACAGACAATAACTGAGAACGAGAACTAGAACGAGAACGAGGCACCTCAATAGCTTATAGACTCAAACTGCAAGAAACAAGAACTGGATGTTTATTGAAAAACCGTAGCATTTTTCTATCGCACTGTACAGACTATTTCTAGTAACAGCTTTTTTCGTTTCGCACATGGCTTAAGTGCTCGTGCTTGCACATCGACAAGGAGTTGAAAGTCCACTGATCCTCACCAATTCAAACTCGAAGGCAGAAGGATTTGCCTCGATCCAAAACAAMTGCAGTAATGGGTCCTTCCAGAAGGAGCTGCTCCCCGCAAGACCACTCGTTGTTGCACGTCCGAGACCGGCACGTGGCCAATCGCCTCGCGTGGCAGCTGTTTGGTGCAGGCTCCGCGGCGCCGATTGCGATCGAGCTCCGGTCGCGTCGGTGCACTTGTAAAGAACCACAATATCTCGAACCCGCCGTTTCCAAAGCAGACGCAGAGCTCCCGGGCTCGAAAACAACGAAACCTTATCGGCACGGCACCGACAAAAGAACGAATGTCTATAGAATCGAAACGAATGCACAGTGATTCCGACGAAATTCTCCTCTCCCTGCAAGCTGCACCGAGYTGCGGCAACGATTMTTCCGTTCGCTCGAGACTTTGTTCGTGCGCTGCCGCCTACAGCTCRATCACATGGCAAAAGGGTCCCATGTCCGAAACAAGTTCGAGGCCTTGCCGCTTCCCGAAACTCCCTGCGATCAGTCGGACGAAAGACGGATCTAGACCGGATCGCTTGTCCTCTGCCTTGGCCGTGGCGCTGGTGGGTGCGTCTTGGGCGGTTGCCGGAGAGGCGGCGACGAGACCAGCGGACGGTGCCGGTGTGCTGGAGTCACCGCTGCTTTGAGGCTCTCGTGGTGGCTCTTGTTGCTGTTTCGATAGGTATTTCTCGTGTCGTTTTGCGTGTGCATCATAGAGCTTTTTGACCCGTTTGGAAGCCGACTTGGTCAGTGGCTCTCCACTGGCTAGGGTGAGGGGAAGCCCGGTGGACTCGTCGAAACTTCCGTACAGGAGGCTGCCGTCTTCTTCCTGCTGCTGTTTCTGGCGGTAACGAAAGAGTTCCTTCGGTGGAATGCTTGGATCTACGGCATCGYTGTTCCCTTTGCTGTTCCCGGCCTTGCTTTTGTTATTTGCGCCAACGCTGCTAGCGGATGATGTCAATCGCTGGTGTYCTTCCATCAGGAAGCCTTCCACGGTTCTTACGAACATATCGTACAGTTCCTCGCCACGGGTTTTGTCTATCTGATCGCGGTACTGCACGGACTTGCCGTTCTTTTTTACTTTTGCAATGAGATTGGCCTGCGGAACGAGCATGACCGAAACTGGGGCGGCCGACGGTTTCTCCTTGTTCGAATCCACCACCGAACCCGCTGCTTGCAGTATGCTCTTTGTAGAGGATCCGTCCCCCCATGCACCCTCCGTTTGAATCGGTAGATTCAGAATGGTTCTCGCGGCCTTCTGTACCTCCACCGGAGTTGCYGTCTTAGAAAAACTGATGTATACCAGCATGCCAACGTGACCSCTGCCCCCGCTTCCATCCCGGCCGAGCAAGACTTCTGCGGAAGAATCTGCACTGCCAACCCYGTCTCCAACGGTGACGACTTCCTTTTCGTCGATCAGCAAACTCGCCTTTCGGTACCGTTGGATGACCATACGGATGCTGGCAATGCTCGTCGTTTCCTCTTGGTTCTGGCTCATGGTAACGTGTTGGATCAGAAGTCTCAGGGTTTGTTTGTGATTGCCGTCCTCAGGTGGGAAATGCCCCGTTGTGCCCGGGTTGCTGTCTTGAAAGGTGCGAATGAACAATGAGCGTGTAACTCAAAACGGTAGGTACCGGTTGTAAGAGTACTACCAAGCCTTAGGTTGGGAAAGTTCTGGCGCCAAGATCTTCAAATCGGATCAAATAAATTGGCAAYTCAGGGGAACAAACAAACACATTTCGGTCCCCCTTCGAATTTTATCACTAAGTTAGTACCGCTTTATCCTGCATCAGAAGAACCACCACGATCTGGGTGCGAAAGTGAGGCAATCGGCAGTGGCTGTGGCAATTCGATTCATCATTACTACTAGTACTACTACTACTACTACTACTACTACTACTACTACTACTACTACTACTACTACTACTACTACTTGTAGTAGTAGTTGTGTGGTCCACACTACTTCACATTTGAAAATTAGTCTACTTCAATGTATGTAGCTTGTTCAATCATATTAAGTGCTTGTTTAGTTGGAATTCCTCATAGTACTCCTAGTAATAGTGTGACGTACTAGTAGTATTTTCACTCAAATATTTCGGATACTATTCTAATTTCCTGTAAATTACTGTCTCTATTCTAATTTTTTTTGGCTTTTAATGTTACACACGAGTAGTGTACAACCAATGGGAGGCAATCAGGCCTTTGGAGATCCATGGATTGGTCCATGGCAATTCATTGCTGATTCATGAATTTACTCATTCCCTYGTGGGGGCTTTTGTCAGGGAAGGTTTCCACCGGTAGAGATCATCCTTGAAACATTGGGAATACTTTCGCCGCTGAAAAGGCGTCGACGCGTTGTCCCTGGTGTAGGCATTGGACTGTAGCGTGTTTTCCGCGGAACGTTCCTGGATGGCTCTAACCCGGTCGATCCGAGCCCGCACAAAGTCCGAGAGGGGCCGTTTTTGCACGATGGTTTCTRSTACTTCGCAGGCATCCTCCAGACCGAGGTTGGCCCCTTGTCCCATCCCCGGRGTCATTGCATGAACGGCGTCCCCTACCAGCAGCACCTGTTGGCCGTCGCACCAGCCGGTTTCGTTGGGAACATTGATGTCGCGCAAAAAGTCTCGGTGGAAGGTGTCCGGCAAGAGACCRATGATRGCACCCACTGTTGGAGAAAAACCAGAAAACAAACTCTGCAGGTGTTTTTTGTGGGTAAAATTGTCGYGGGGAACGGTAGCATTGRCCGACCTCGAATCGCCGTTCGGTGAGTCATCGAGGGCAGCCGCTGTCACCGTAATGATACCTTCTGTAGTCTCCCGCACCGAAAAGGACTTTCCGATTTCGGTRCCCTGCCAAGAGATTTGRCTACCTTCAGGGATTTCCAAGACGCGATCCACCCGTTCCTTCTCTATTACGGCGCGGTACATGACCTTGCCGTAGTAATTCGTTGTGGGGGGTTCGCCCAGGAGCTGGCATCTAACCCTTGAATGAATCCCGTCCGCACCGATCAAGAGACGGCACGTTTTCGTGACTTSTTTTCCATTGTCYAAGAGAKAAACCTCAACCCGCCCATCGTCCAGCACCTTGTAGGATTGAAACGAGTGCCCTAGCTGTAGGCAATCCTCTGGCAAAGCCTCTACGAGGTGCTGCTGGAGCAAGAACCACGCATACATCACCGGTGAAGTCTCGTTCAGATGTGGGACGCTGGTGCTTCGAACTACCTCGTCGGTACTCGCATCTCGTCGTTCGAACACRAGACAGGGGGAGCAATTCTTTCGGACCATTTYAGCCACGTCAGGTGCGATATGCTCGAGTGCTGAMAGACCGTTAGGGTACAACCCTATCGCCGCTCCGACCTTTCGCAGGGACTGGGTCTGCTCGTATATCGTGCACGATTTACCCCTTCGAGAGAGCGCCAACCCCGTAGCCGCACCCACCAATCCACCACCGATGATGATAACGTCAGTGTCGCAGGCTATGGAATCTACACCATCGTCGCCGCCTTCGTCTTTCAAAACCATCCTGCAATCTGTAGTCCCGAAGCGAGGAGATTTTGGGAAGGCGAGCGTCGATTTTGTGTGTGGTGCGAAGGCATGGCTTTTGACGGCAGATTTTAGCAAACACTCAAACAAGAGGAATGCGCTTATCAGTACCAATGGTCTCATTGTCATCGCTTTTGCCTTCGACGGTATGAAGTTTTAGATTTGGAAAAAGTGGATGGATTTCCGATTTTTCATGTTCAACGTTAACCTGCGAAAAACTACAGGTACCAAAAATCCTATCTTACCATCTGAAAAATAAAAAATATGTGAAAATGTTTTTTTAACAAAAATCCCTTTTCGAATCTACCTTTTAAATTAAATTTAAATTACCAACAAAAAATGAAAAATAAACAACCGAACACCCAAACTGCAAGTGAGAAGCTCCGTTTAGAAAATGTGCCAAGAAATTGTTAACGCTAATCACCAACTAATTTGCACAGACAGCAATGATCTATCTGGCTACTGGTAAATTTCGCATTCAGTATTCAATTTTCAAGGCGATTGGAATTTTGAGGGGTATGACACCAAACTGCTCTCTGTACTCGCTGACATTCTCGAAAAAGAGACGCCATTGCATTGCTCTGTCAGCTCTCTATTGTACTCAATATTTCCAAATACGGTGATGCCTACTACTCTTGTTATGTGAAGCTTGAATTTGTTCTGCATTAAACATCATTCTGCGTTTTTGGTAGGCCCCCCTCG